GGATCTAAATCTTATTAAAGTTAAAGTACACTTCAATATTCAATACAATAAGAAAACAGATATTCTAACCAAAAAAGTGTTAAACTTCCTAACAATAGAATGGCAAGATCTGAACTCATCTAAGATTATTACTGAAATCAAATGACAAGATATAGTGCTAGATGCTCCAATAAGGCAGTTTGTTAAAAAAATCAATATCAAAATAATGACACACCAATGGACAACTCAAAATAGAATATACAAAAAGTGGGATCATCAAATTCAAGATCAGTATAGACACACATGGGACCTAGTTTAGAAACAAATGAATAATGGGTATACATGAAATATTTTTTTTAAAGGATCACAAAAAAAAAGCTTTCTTGTTAAGATGATTAGTGACAAGCTATCCACATTAACAAAGCTAGCCACAAGAAGATCAGACTTATATAAGCAAATAAAATGTCTCACATATGGATAGCAAGAAGAGACAATTGAACATTTGCTAGAATGTTTGGCATATAAAACTCAATAGCAAGAAACCTGATAGAAGAGTATAGAAGAAATGATACAAAGTTTCAACAAACTCCTGACAGATAGAAAAAAGAAATTAGAAAAAAAAAATATGTCTGACAGTTGATGACAGAATGAAAAGAGGAGAAATGGATAAGAAAATAGTTTAACTAGTTGAAAGGATCTCAAATACTGGTTGAGATATACTTAGCTTTTGCATAAAACTGATTAAAAAAAATCTAATGAATGAGATAGCAGACTCGAAGTGCTATGAAAAGAGAATTGATAAAGAAGCAAGAAAGTGAATAGATAATGAAGATGTGGAAGAAAATACATAACCACTTTAGAAAGAAAATTTGAAATATCAGATGCAAAAAGGTAACAGAGTGAAAACAGATATTAGGAATCAATAGAGGTGACAAAATCAAAAGGCCGATATATTTACAAAGGCAAAAAAATAGGACCAAGATACCAGAAAATTAGTCATATCAAGTACTATTAAAGAAAGAAGAATTAGAAAACACAATACTCAAACAGATTCTATGAGATGGGATAAAGTATGGAATGAAATGATTGGGTTTTAATCTTGATCAGAACTCAAAAGAATGATCTACAGACAATGATGTTAGAAGTTGGAAGAGTATTTATCTGAACTTCTAACGGAACAATAAATTACTTTCAAAGTTGCACTTAGAAAGGTAAAATAATCAAGATGAGTGAATTAATTAAAGAATTAATTTTAATGTTTCATATTATATATATAGCTTATCAATGTTTAATAAAGTATATATAACTAGCCTGACAGAGAGCAAAAAAAAAAATTAAAAATTAAAAATTAAAAAATTTCTTAAATTAATTATATTATTAAAAAAATAAATGTATTTATAAAAACATATAATATTTTAATATTTAGTTTAATTATCTAAAATATAATAATATTTATAATTCTAGTTATTATATTAAATACTATTTTCTTTAATTCAATATTATCAATATTTTTAACTATTTTTTTAAAAAAAATCAAAATGTAATAAAGAATTATAAATTATATATTTCATAAATAGAAAAATATCTGGATTAATTAAAAACAAAATTAAAATCTTGAAACTATAAATTTTTAAATATAATATTAATAATATTATTTAAAATTGTAAGAAAATATTTTATTATAGATCTAAATAGAATGAATAATATTTCTAAAATATATAATATCTTAAAACACCTTCACTCATATAAAATTATTAGAAAAAATTATAGTCAAATTAATTTAAATTCTTAATAGTATTTATAAATATAAAAGAGAATATAAAAAAAAAGTTATAAATATTATTTCAAAATATTATTAAATTAAAGTATATAATACAATTGATTTTAATATATTTAAAAAAATTGTAGAATAAATAAAATTTTAAATGATTTGTTAAGAGTTAATTTATTATGTATTTCATTCAAAATAAAGAATTCAAAATATTTTTTAAAAATATTTTCATGGAATTATTAATTATAGAAAATAAAATTATTAAGGAGAAACTATTTTATTATTTTTGTACAGAATCTTTTATAAATCGAACAAAAGAATACTTACTTAATAATATTAATTATATGAAATTTTGAATTGAAAGATTACAACAAAAATAAACTAAGGTTTACATGTGCAACAATAGTTTTTATAGATAATACTATATGAATGACAAGATTTAGAGACAATATGGAATAGATTCTAAAAATAGCGAGAGCCTCTTATAGAACAAATTATTATTCTTAGATTAATTGAACAAGTCAGTTTTGATTACTATTAACAATCTAAATTACTATTCAAAAAAAAAAAAAAATTCAAGCTAGTATTAATAATGAAATAGCAGAGGAACTAGATAGGAACTAGATAGGAAGAAAAATTACTATTGGCATTTTAAATTATTATAATTCAAAATTTAAGCTATATATACGGTAGCATACACCATAAACTTATCTCTTTTGATTACTACTCGTCGTTTGTTATAAAACCCAAACATCACCAGTTTGATGGCTAACAGAAAATAAATAGTAGATTCCAAATCCGGGAACAAAAAAACCAAAAGGGCTATCACCGATTGATGACGGGTAAAACGGAAAATGAGCCATTGAAAAGTTCCAAACACAGGATCTTGTGTTTCCGTGACTAGCCAGTAAAAGGAAATTAATCCGGTTTTTTCTTTTTTTTTTTTTTTTTTATCATACATAGGAGGACAATAGTTGGAGTCAACAATAGAAAGTATTAACCACAAAACATAGGGAATCGCTCGCAAATAGATTATTTCCGGTTTTTTCTAAAGACGGGTTTAACGCTTTATTCATACCCTTCACCATAACTGGCAATAATAAAATCAGGAAAAATTTTCTTGGAACAAAAGATATCGGATGAAGGGGTGACAGGGTTGTTAAGCAGGCTTTGTCCGGAAAAGGTGAGACAAGGCAGCGTTGAACAAGAAACAAAAGAAAGGTCCATCGAAACGTTTGAAAGAAGGTTCCTTTGATCGATCATGATAAGTACGAAGAAACTATGTGTGTGTCATTGTTGTCCGTTATCGTTTAAATTAAAAGAACCGACTTCCAAATGTGCTTATCATTGAATGTCGAATAAGCAATATAAAATTTTAATATGAAATTAAAAAAGGGACACCTCTCCCTTACGCACGAGACTCCTATATTACAAATATATCTTGAATCTTCCAAAAAAGTCTTTACAATTATAAAGTTAGTAAACGCCCACCCTTTTTTAATTTGTAACCAGAAAGGAAGCTAATGAATGGGATATACAGTATACAAATTTCATAACGCTACGTTGTTAATTTGTGTGGACTGTAATTAAGATTAGTCAAATTATTATTTTAACATGTACCATAGATGTTTAGCTCGTTTCTCACATGAAAAACAAAAAAAAAGGTTTCTAACGTTGGCTAATACACTATTTTTAGTACTTTATGTCGAGGGCGCACAAGATTGAAAGATATGAATGAAGTTTTTTGCAGCATACATGCAGAGTTCGAAGAACGTGATCAAACACCTCTAGATTCGCTCATAGAAATAATAAGACTTTGAGAATATACCATGAAACCGTCCTTTGTCAATTCCATTCTACTCTCTTTTGGTAAAACCCGAGGGTCACCTTGTGTGCTTGTTTGTTAAGATGGACGTGATTTCCGTACTTGTGTTTTGGTGTGTGGGTGGACTCAGGGATTGCTTTATCACAGAGGAAAAGAGCGAGAATGAATAAGATACCTAGTTTGGAAAATGCGAAAAGAAATTGGACATTTTTTGCAACAAATTACGCAATATTTATTTTGTGTTTTGTATTAAAAAAAAAAAAAAGGTTGTCAAATGAGAAGGACGGTTGAAATGGTTATTGGTGTTGAATACGCTATATTTGTTCTTTTTGGCACCATCTTTGCTCAATTCATCCTGACTTTTCTTTCTTTTTTTTTTTTCTTTAATATTATTCAGTGTATGTACGTATGCACACACGCAACGTATATGAATCTATCGTGTATGTATGCTAACAGTTGCCACCAAGCGACTAGCATTTAGGGGTTTCCTTTTTTTCCATTCTTTTTTTTTATTCACGATTTTATACGTGATCAAAAAAATACTGATAAGATAACCACACATGCATTCGAGTGAATAAGCACAAAAACGAGTGTAAGGGTTTTGATGTGCAAGTAATAATAATATTCGTCAGAAGCAGTAATTTTTGAATGAGATTCAATATGGATGTTAACCCTTACTTTATTTTATTTATTTATATTTATTTATTTTTTAACTCATCACACCTACACAATTGTGTACACAATGTTATTTTGCACGGAGCAAAACTCCGATAGAATATGTGCGTGCGTGCGTAATCGATGGAAAAACTTTATTGTGATATTCGTTCGACAGCAACATTTCACCGCCACAAAATGACCCACAACCGCCCATTCCTCATCTCGTTAGCCTACAATTTATTGTTGATGCATCGTGTTCCCCAACCGCCACACAAGGCACTGTCACCTCTCATTTATGGTCATTTTTTGTGACTTGACTCCCGATGAAAAAAGTCGTCTCCCCATCGTACCCAAATTTACATTATCATCGCTGGTATTCAGTGTTCCATTTTTGTCGTGAGGTATACGACTCATTAAATTGCTAAGTAACAACGTCAATCGGAAATTCCAGGTCTTGGATCTACAGGCCTTAACCACCTATGATCACTTATCTTTTATAATTGAGTGAAATAAAAAAGAAAACATTTAAAATATACATGTATACATACTGTATTTCCCAGATAAATTTGGTCAATAATTAATAAATATCAACAACCAACAATAATCTTCGATAAATTTGGTCAATAACGTGAATTATTAATATTTTTTGTGTATCATGTACGCTTCGTCAATTGACAATTTTGACTTCTCATCGTTGACATCGTCTATTGGTGCGAGCCTATTTCATTCTAACAATGCTTCGAAAATTCTTTTCTCCCTGGAGCGTCAATGAAATTGCCAAAATTAGATGTCATTGATAGGGAGAGAACAAAGACGCACCTCCGCCTTATCAACAACGTGAATGTTTTGCCGACTCCCGTGGGTGCGTCTCAAATCTGGCTTCTTACCACGCCCGTCTTTGAGTCAATGAATCGACAATCATATGTAACTGAGTACAACACCATTCCTTGAACACGAGTTGAATCGAAAAAAAAGTTCATCAGAAGGTGATAGATAACATTCCATCATTGAATTGTCTATGGACGTGTGATAACAAACACAATGTCAACCATATGCGCACACAGCCTTGGCCGGTCTAGACAAATTTGGGCTGGATTTGGAAGCAATAATTTGACGCTCTGTAATTGGTTCGCGTCGACCGTGTGCAGGTGGGAAATTCGTTTGACCCCTCAATTGTTTCAAGCGGAATTTAAATCCCGCCATGTTGCACAGAAAAAATGGATGAGCTAAGATTAATTCTTCGTTATTGTAAAACTTTAAAAAAATATACTAGATAACAAGCAAAGTTGCTACGCATTGTGTTTCGACGGTAGATCTTAATTTATTAAAATTTATTAAATTCCTTTAACTTTAATCTTAATAACTTGGCAACTTTGAAGTTAGACCTCGAGGGATGGAATATGAAAACCCGAAAGATTTCACTGCCGCCGGCAGATCGAAGGCAAACGACATATACCCCTTCGATGAACGATTGAACCTCGCGGAGTTTTTGCGCACGGCATTCTCCTCATCATCCTGAAGAGCGGAGCACTCTTCACGTGGCTCTTCGTTTCGTCGAATCGAGTTCGTCCCTTTAATTCGATTTCATTGGAGCCACCGTTTTTCCGTGCATTCGGTGATTCACGTTGAATACGAGTGTGATGTGCTCGTGTTCTAACGTGTTCCCAAGGCCACAAAGACGACCGTCTTTCACCAATGAATAAATGAAGCGTATCTTGATTTCCTGTGTGTTCGTAACGTTAGAAGTACGCAGAGTTTTTCCAATTGCTTGTATCATTGTTTACCGTAAGTTTGCTGCGGCTTTCATGCTGAGTCCAAATCTGCCTCCGAATAATCACCCCGCCTCTATGATCACCTGTATATTGTGTGTACTAAATTCTTGGTAGTGTAAAAAAATATGCATTTTGTTGTTCAGTTAATTTCCAATACCCAGAAATCACCGCTTTATCTCTTGTTACTCTATCACAAATTAGACACACATTATTGTAAAAAATCAATTATTTGTATGTAACGTTAATACTGTGTAGAAAATATGCGTGCACTCTAAAAAATTTTAATAATAGTATATACGTATATGTGTATATATATATGTATGTATATATACATTTTTTTATGTGGTCTGATTTTTAGATAAATAGTCCAAACCAAAATTCTCCTTTTCCTTCACCTTTACGGGTATCATCTCTCTTCAAAACTATTCATTTAGAATCCTCACACTCTTCGCAAACTAACGAGAGCATTACTTTAACAAAAATCTCTTTTTCTTTTCTCACTTTGCCTAAATCCCCGCCAGGGGAAAAATCATTTGATTCGTATACAAAGGAAAAAAAAAAAAAATCTCACACTTCTATTAAAAAAAAATTTTTTTTCGCCCTTTTTTTTTTCTTTTTTTTTTTTTTTTCCTCGACCTTTTTTGCTTCTTGCGTTTTTCGGGAACTTGGATCTTGTCAACACAAAAACTCTCGTTGTGGATTCCATTCCGACAGACAAAAACTCAAAACCAAAAATCCCTTATTTTATGTCTACAGAATCCTTCATCTTCTTCTCCCCCGCACAAGTAATGCCGTCAAACCCCTCATACTTCCAATCTGACAACACTGCTTGCATAAATAACTACACAGAACCAATCGACTTTACTATCTATTCTCAAGACACTACTTCCGAACTTGAAAATGATCTATTCCCGAGTACTCATCAGGTCCAGCGAAACCCCTCAGGATATTTAGAAGAGTCCGATTTGTCCTATAATTACGCAGCAGTAGAGTCCACCAATCACATCCTCTCAGATCACAACATCATCACATCACCTGGAGGTTACACACCTCAGAACCAATCCTCTTTCACGGTTACTTCGCCACACGGAAACTCCTTAAACGACAATAATCCGTTGACGGATTTTCCTACAAATAACACTCTTGTCCCCCCCCACCTAACTCCTCCCACCACAAGTGAACCTCTAGTGGTTGAAGACATTCTGAATTCTCCGTACACGCCTTACACGCCCTACTTAATTTTCTCACCGGTGATTAATAACGTTGAAGGTCAAGGGATAATATTTTGTCCGACTCCGGACCTTGGTACGCCCCACACCGTTTGTACACCACTGACCACTCCATACACACCGTACACATCCAACTTCAATTCTGATCCTTCGACTTGTTTCGTGCCTCACACACCTTCCACGCCGTCCATCGATAATTCATTTGACCCTCCTCTGTACGAAGAACCTGTCAGCAAATACTACAGTCTATTTGATACCAAACCAAACATCTCGGAACTTGGAACAGGCTTTCGCACATTCAACACTTTCAATAGTCAAATGGAATTCGCCTCTTCCATCGATGAGAAGAAACCAGAAGAAGGTTCGGCTGAAACCGCGGTGGTTCCAGGCACGCCAAATACCGATGCTTCTTCCGTATCCGCATCAGAAAAATCAACATCCCCACTTTCACCTGCAGTCGAACCTTCCGAACATCAGGCGGAGACCAATTCCGGTTCTCAGATTGGTGAAAATCCAGACGTAAACATCGAAGGGGCGAGATCACCCTCTTCCTCCCCCGTCACAACCCCTCGCTTGGTTGCGATTAGACCCCGTCCGCATGAGGACGACGACGATAATTCTGAGCCTTCTATCAGAAGGAGCAAGCGTCAGAGGACTAGGAGTATCTCTGAGAATGAGGAAGATAATGAGGAAGACGGGGACGAGAAGAAATATACTTGCCCCGAATGTGGCCGCGGATTCAATCGAAAGTTCAATATGCAGACGCATCGTTCCACGCACGATCCTAATCGAGTGAAACCATTTGCCTGCGAGCATCCCAATTGCGGTTCGAGATTTACCCGTAAGCACGATTTAAAGAGGCATGTCAATGGGATCCACAAGGGCGAACGGGTCCATTCATGCAACGTCTGCAGCAAACCTTTCTCTCGTAAGGACGCATGGAAAAGGCACGTCACTACGTGCGGCAAGATGTAGTGATGTGACGCTTGCTAAGATATTATTACCCCAAAATCTTCTGGACACTTCCTCGTGGTTAGAAAAACAATCAATCTCGCAAGCAGCGGCATATTTTTATCGAGAATAAATTTATTTTTGAACGGATCATTACTCTTTAGTTTGTAGTTGTTAAAATTGAAAAAGCCATGGTGATTAAAAAGAGGACATATTATTATTGCATATCTTCGTCTTGTTGCAACGAATAACAAAAAAAAAAAATCTTTATCGAATTTGGCGCTCATTCTCCGCCTTGTATTCTCAACAA